TAGCCTGAATGTTTCAACTGTTCAAATTATCATTAGCACTGTTTTGTACAGAATTAAATTCTACAGTCAACGGCATGAGTGTCAACAATCCACAGGGCTAGCCGAGCTTTTGAAAATATTATTTTCCAGAGCGCACCCATAATTACTGCCAGACGTTAGTTCAGAACCCTTGTCTACTGAACAGCAGTACAAAGAACCTTGGAAAGATCGCGGAAGCATAGAACATAAAATACACTATCTTTTGATGTAAGATACTTTACTTTTAACATAGGTCTGGATGAGTAAATATTTGCACAAATCATAGTATCTGCAGAGAATTTCACCAAGCATATGAATGATTTAGTAGGTGTTGGTCTTTCAAATCTTACATTGACAAGAAAACTTATTTGAAAAACACAGTGGATAGTGTTTTAGAGAAATGAAATCTCGATTCAACAAGCTCAGAATCAGATCTTAAGACGATTATTAAGTACCTTAAAGGCAGAAAAAGTTAGCTGACCATTCGTTATAGAGCGTCCGTTAGAAGCAGAACGGATCCACATTAACGCACTTCTTCTAACACATGAGCTTTCTGTTAATATTAAAGTTTTCATTAACATTCGTAGTTTAGATGAATCCCGTTGTATTATATTTTTTCTGTGGTATGCTGTTTTTTGCATGCTTATTGACCTTATATATTGAAGGCTGCAAAAGATATCATTTCAAACTTCATACATACGTAAAACTCAATAAAACAATGAATGGAACCTTCTTGCCGAAATGAGTAATAATTATGATGATACAGAATCATCGCCTGACGTAAGAGCGGCTTCAAATTTTGTACGATTCCGGAATCTCTTCGAACGATTCCCGGAATTGCACGGAATTCAGTCCAATTCCGAAATTCCTACTTATATTACTATTCTATACTCTCTTATACACTTAGTGATGATCCGATTCCGGTTCGGAATTCCGGAATTAGATAAAGCGGAATTCGGTGGGAATTAGGCTGAATCCCAGAAGTGTGTTGTAAGTGATAAACGGAATTGCAGGAATTAGATGGAATTGCTTCCGTGCGCGGAACTGGTTCCGCAATGTTCAACATTGTGGAATAGGATGTATTTTCATTATCCATGATAAATCTTTCACTTCGATTGCTAACGATAACATAGAACCAGACTACTCGTAATATTTTCTGTCTGAATATATATTTGGTAAGCATATCGATGAGAACTCAGGTCGTTGATAATTGTCGTTCACGTATAGTGTGCTAGACGCACAATCGAGACGCTTCATTATACAAGAGTTGAAGTCATGTACACGGAATCCGTGTGATTTCAACAAATTTGTAACGTTCGGCGTTTTTGGATTATTCTCAACGAGCAGATAATGTACCTGAATGTTCCAATCCATCGTAAGAAGCACTAAAAATTCGCCTCCTTCTACATCAAGACTGAATAAGTCTATATGAGTTATGCCAATCGCGGATAAATAGTAACCAATAGGACCACAAGTTACTTGTTGAGTATTGTTATTATTTTTATGCCAAGACTTTCTAAAGGCTTCGTCCATGGTGTCAATGTTTCCTGCGACGAACCCAGGCCCACCCTAAAAACGTCAAACATAACCAACCTGAGAATTGTTTGATATGGTGGAGACTCACCAGCATTCTAACATGGGTCTGAGGTGGTGAGCATATTCCGACAGGAAGCTTCACCGTATTTTTTCTATTTTCTTTGAGCAGTTTTCTAGCATTATCTGGCTGAGCTTCTATAAGAACTCCACGCCAATCAAACATTCGCTCAAAAAACAAGGTATTACTGAAAGTGACCCCATCTGCAGCGCCTATTTCTACGAATATACCGGGATTCTGATTTTCCTTTGTGTCATTGAAGATCCATTTGTGCAAGGCTTCATCCTCACCACCCTGAGAGTAGTAACCTCTTCTGCCTACGAAATTGGTGGACTGGCAAGCCCATATTTGTGGATGTAGATAACGAGCATATCTTTGAGCAAAACGTGCTGGTATTTCTTGTTTATTCAGCTCTATGGAGGAATTGAGCTTCCCAACACCTAGTTGTATCTCACACACGTGAGGAATATTCAATAAACTGGCTCTACATGCTACTGCGATTAAAATTGATACCGCGGAGCAAAAAATAATAGCTAAGCATTTTCTTAAGAGACCCATTGACTAAGTTTCTAGAAAGAAAGTAACTATTACCCGGATACAAATAAATTATACGTACTTGTTAGTCTTTTCGAACAGTGGGCTTAGGTGTGCGATTGTGGCTTTGGATGTAGATATGATTATGGATATAAGGGAGAGTCAATGAAGACAACCGATACACCCTCAACCACATCATACATACGCCACACCCATACCTTGATCAAACTAATGATGATTCAGCGGCATTTTTCTATCGAGATACCCTCTTATACACTTGAATTCACTAACAGAGATCGAATCAGTTGACATTTTCTTCTTAAGTGAACCAAACTGAACGTAACCGGCCGAATTAAAAAAATATCCAACCGAGCAGACTTTGATTGTGGCCGGTTGATTTGGTTAACAACCGAGCCAATCCTATCTCTGGTTGCTAATGAGGAGCATGAATGAATGCTCAACGATCTTCCTTAAAATGTAAACAGTATCGCACAGAAGCAACTGAAACAATCTAACCTAAACGTGTTCACAATGTATATTGTGACACGATTCTTGCAATGTTAGAGTTAAAAACGTGACTAAACTATATAGAAAATCTAAATAAAAATCAATTGAGTGTTTAAACGACGGTGTTTTGGAAACTCATTTCAGGCATCGAAAGTAGTAGTAATGAAATGATAGTATGTAGTTTGCAGGATATGCGTATGAGTGGAAATTAGAGCCATGCAGAAACAGGTTTTATAATTCATAATTTGTTAGAGATACCATATATGTGCAGTGATGCTTGTCATTATTCAACATGAGAGAATAAACTAATGTATCTCATTCTCCGATTAAAGAAGAAAAACTTACCTTCTTCATTGGGTGACGAAGCAAAATAACGAGGCATTGATCAGTGTTCGATGACCAATGCTAGACTGATACTCACTGCATCTACCTGAGGGTGTGAGTATGCAGGGAGGAAAAAATATTGATCAGCTCACACACATCCAACCTTTCAAAACCTTTACAGATACTTATTCTGTGCTGGATACAACAAAAGTAATTTAAATATGAAATTTTTTTATTGATTTACATAATTAATATGATTTCGTTGCACCTTGTGACCGGAAAACAAAAGAAAAAAGAAGATTCTTTATGAATTCTATTGAATATATTTCAAAAAAGGGCCATTGCGAGCCCATTCTAACACGTTACTTCTTGCACGCCAACATCGCCGTTGAACTGTTAGATTGAACTTATTAGATGCATATCTTGACTTGTTCAAAATCATCTGCCTCCAGAAAGCATTACGCAGCTTTTCATAATAATAGCCTGTAGATGCAGATGAATTTAACGATGATATTTTTTTTGTTGCAATTCTGTGTAATTGATCACGTAAAAATGATTCGGTTAACTCCGTATGATTATTAATAATAAGTACTGGTAAATTTTCGTAGAGACTATTCAATGTTGAGTTCCATACAATTGGTATGATATCGAGGTAAAGCGCCTCCCAAGTTCGATGACAATCAATACCATTTCCGAGTGGTGATATCCAGAACGGATAATGACGATTGCGTTTATAGATTTGTAGTATCTTGGATATCTGAACACCTCTGGGTTTTTCAATACATTCAATCAAAGGAATCGGCTTATCTCGGCTGCACAAATCTAGCCAAATACGTAAACGAAGTCCTGTACCATCTGTATCAGAATCGAAATTGATTAAGGCTAAATGATCTTGATTGGTACTAGAAGTCGATAGAGCTCGTTCTGTCACATCAAATAAATTGATATAGTGCGATGGTTCATCTTTAACACCATACAACGGAGGAGATGAGTGACTACGATATGATTTTTTCTGTACCATTCTGATTGAATCAGCCATTTCGTAGCAGTTTATACCTACAATTTTAACAATGTAAACATATGTTGTAAGCCCCTGGTCGACAATTTCTGTCACCGAATACTGTTGTAACCAGCCGGAAAGATGAGGAAAATGGAATTAAATAAAAGGCAATACTAACCAGGATTCAAATATAAACAGGACTCAATCATTTGAGATATTGTTCTTCAAATATGAAAATTTTTACAGCATTTTTCAGCAGAAATTCTACGTTTCCTTCAGATTACCAAGCATATCGACTAGGGGTGCATCAGCTCCAGCTCAAAAGTTCAGCTGAGCTGAGCGAAAAAGCTGTTCGAACGTTCTTTCGGTAGGAGCTGATTGATTTGAACAGCTCGTTCTAAAAGAGCTGATCTGATCGNAAGCTGTTCGAACGTTCTTTCGGTAGGAGCTGTTCGATCAGATCAGCTCTTTTAGAAGGAGCTGTTGAAAAACTCCAGTTCAGGAACGAGAGCTGTTCGATCAGATCAGCTCTTTTGAAAGGAGCTGTTCAAAACAATCAGCTCATACCGAAATGAACTTTCGAACAGCTCCCACGCTCAGAACTAGAGCTGAACTATTGCACCCCTAATATCGACCCAGGTCGAAAGTCAGAAATCGAATTCTGTTGGATGTATTTCAATCCAATGAGTTCCGATGATTGCATCCGACATGCTTCCGATTGTCGAAATCCGGTCGGATCTCAGTTTAATACCAACAACGTTCGGCTTATTTCCATTTCCGAATCCGATGAAACACGATTTTCGTGCCCTATAGGATTCAGTTATTGGAATCCAGTCGATTCCCTCCGTTTCTGGCATCTAAAAACTTCGACATCTTTTTTGATTGAGCTGTCGAATATATCTTAGGATTTTGTACATATCGTATGTAATTATAATTTTTTTCTTGTGCTATAAAGCAAAAACTGTTGAGTTTAATTCAGTCTTTCAAGAAGTTTGTTCCACGAAAGAGTAAATTGAACTAAATTTCGATTATCCAAACTGCACAAGTCAGTTTTATACGAAACTGGTTCGTCCTGAATTCACGAACTTTCCCATTGAAGAATGAAAACAATTAAGTAAAGAACAGACATTGCCGACGATAATAGCTTTAAATGACACCAGTACTTCATAAAATACTATTATCCGGTTTTCTTATTATCCACAACGAAAAGCTCTCTTTTCCAATTAATTGAAACATCTTGGGAGTACCATGTATTCTTTTATTAGCATTGACTTCTTTCAACACGAAGTGCGTGTACTGAAAAAAGCTTCGGCGGTATTTTACTACACTTTATAATTTTTTGTTCGCACAAACAAAGCGTAAAAAGAGTTTAGTACCATGTAGGGTTTCGTGAGAAGTCTGTTCATAGTTTAGTATTTAAATAGTTACATGATAGACCTTTTCGGGTATCGAACAGTGAAAATATTTTGTAAAATATTCTTCAAACTTCATTTCAAACATGAGCATTGAAGTAGAAACACTGGCCCGAACTTCGTTTCTGAACGAGTAGAATGGAGATCAGCCATTAATTGTTTCACTGGTAATCAGCTAATCATATTCTACATTGAGTAAAATATTTCCAATATGCAGTAGTCATAACAAATCGAAATGGATGAAGTACTTAAGATTATCAAAAAAAGTAGTGCATTGTAATTTCTAATCACAATAATAACTAATCGCATACGTTCTCTGTTGAGCAGTTCAATTACAGTAGTTTAAGTGAAGGGGTTAAACAAATTTATGAGAATATTTTGGGGTTGGATAAGGATTCAAGTATTAAGTTAAGGAGATAGATATGCATCAGTAGATTGGTTAAGGAGTCAGATTAAGGTTGAGCGGATCCGTTAGGAGATTACATTTGCATTAAGAGAGTAAATTAACTGCTATCTAAGAACAATCTATTTCTTAGAAACCCCAAGCACGCTCTGAAACCCATTCAAAAACCTCTAGAGATTTGACAGATGATTTCCGAAAGCTAGCAACACTCTTGTAAATATCTTATTGGTTGTTGAGTGTTCGAAAATAATTTGGTTCCCTTAAATACCGATCTCAACGCTCCTAAATTATTTTGACATCCATTTTTCTTGATATTGAAAATCTAATCTAATTTTCAGGAATAGTCAGGGTAGTCTAGGAAATTTATACCGTCAAAAAATGAAGTCAAAGTTATATGAGTTATGCTGTAATTCCCTTTTGGCTTCCGAAATGTTGCTCAGGCAAACCAAAGAACCGTCGAGTATACTCAATCTTGAAAACGTACGATAACGAACGGAAATCTGATCCTGCATTTTTATTGGATAAAACGAAAGGTTTCTAAAGCTTATGATAATTTCAGAATACTCTCTAGACTGAAAGCGATCATGGTCCTGAAATCTCTCAGAAAATAATTCCAATACTGCAATATTTGCTTTACATCTTCGTCATTGCGCAGCTTCAGATGTCTTAATTGAACTAAAACGGCTCCCAATAATAAGAAGAGCCTACTTCATCAGGAATCTTCCGTTCCATGAACTATTTTGTGTTCACAATCTGAAACAAGTAAAATTCCATTCAAATAAACTTATATCATCTTAACGTTCTTAAACTGTTCTCGATTTCGAATACAATGCAATATTTACAAACTAAAATATTCATTGTCTTTTGTTTTAGGTTATTATCGATGTGATCAAAATGGTCAATTAGAAGATAGGTATAAATGATGGATAGTTTAAGGGATTAAGTTAGGGGATATATTTATCCGTTCAAATTATGCAAGCGGAGATCGATTGCATTGCAACTGTGACGCAATTTCAGTTACGCAGCAAATTTGAATATGAATTACAGATGGTTGGGTATGGTACCGTATTTTTTGGAAACCCGAGAACAGTTTCTATTTCGTTCAAAATCTGCGAATCTTGATTAAGTTACGTATGAAATTTTTTCAGTGTAGATAAATTGTAGAACCTTGTTTAAAAACCGACTTGATTCGGTCTGTTTCATTTATTTTCATTGCATGATCCGATATGATCCAGTCGGATTCAATTGTCAAAGCTGATCGAATCCAACCAGATCCTTTTCCAGTCAAATGTTCGTTGGATTCTTGGTCACTGGGCTTAGGGCTCGTTCCGACATTATCCAACGTATGATCGTATCGCACCCGACAAGATTCATTGATCGAAACTCTCGACTTAGGGAGTTTGAATTTTGAATTTCATATTATGCACGAAAAAATTTCTCTATACATAGTTTTTAATTTTGCTATCTTACAGTAGAATATAGGGATGATCAGGAAAACTTTCAGAAGGGATTGATCTGGTTTATATACTCTTCAGTATAACAAAAGATAATTCGAAACTATAGATTTGGTTTTCAAACTGAATAAAAGAAAATCCAAGTGTTTTGCAGAATAAAACCTGTAAAAGTTGATATATACATAAATAAAAGAAAGACTTGATAGATAGGCGAATATTGCCAGAATTTGACACAATTCATAATTGTCTAACATCTAAGCCTAGTTCTAAGTAAAATGATAATTGAATGTTTATGAATTTTTTTTATCTACAATCGTTCACTATCGATTCTGTGAGCCAAAGTACTTGAAATTGAAAAACCGGAAAACGAGATATTCAAAGTCAGGGGCAAATGGTACTAACAAAATGAGTGCTATTGTGATTTCCTAAACCTTTTGAAGAACATATGAAAACAGCTGTTCTTCTGTTAAACTTGGCGAGTTGTTGAAGAGATACAAATTACAATTCAATTTTTATTCAAGACCTATATGAAACCATCTTATTCCTATATTTTACATATACATTGTATCGATAATCATACCATTATAATCTTGTCATTTCTGTTAGAAATCAAACATTTCAGGATAGGATACATAATTTTCATACAGTCTATCGTGTGTTTGATAATTTCTCTGCTCTATGCAACTTGTTGGCGGAGCTTCGATTAAGACATATTTATTCATCAAAATTTATCTTTTTGCAGAAGTTGCTACTTCTGTAGACTATGTTAATATACGTGTGAAAGAAAACGGTACACTTATACAGCGAAAACACGAAGCGCACCCAAATGAATACTTTGAATCTTCAACAATCAAAATCTAAAGTTAAATTTTCTTCTTTTAGCATGCCGAGTGGTAGACGGCATATGCAATTGTGAGCATTTATGCGCTGTTACATTTCAAAGTATTTAAAAACAACGGATTATAACTACTATTAGATATTTCTTCTAAATATGATTTAAGGATTCTTTTTTCAAGTTTTCTTTGAGAGTATGGGGAGGACTTTTGAAAGAGCTGAAAAATAGTTTGAACTGAATGGTTGAGGTTAAATTTCTTAAGTAATAATCTATATTTTTGATCTACAGAAACTTGTTGTATACGAGTGGAAACGGATGAGTGAGAAGTCATTTATTATTCTTCGTTTTGTTACCTATTCAGTAGATCTAAATCTATTTTTCTGCAAAAGTGGTAAGAGAATCTTAAAGGTTGCTGTGACACACGACCTGGAAGGAGTGCTGAAATGTTTAGGGTAGAAACTTGCACCCACCACCCCCTACCCCACAGACCGTTACAGACAGGTGATTCTCCCATCACAGACCGCGACCGGCAGGTGATTTCCCCTTCACAGATCGTTACAGACAGATGAATTTTCAGTTTAAGTGTTAAAAGTAGGAATTTTAATTAAATAGCTAATTACAGCCTAATTAATTATTTACCCTTTACAGAGACTGCGAGGCAGGCTTTGAGTTCATCACAAATGGTAATAGAAATGCAGGGAGGATAGAGGGGCGCAGCTATGACTATGATGTACCTGAATAAACACCTCTGGGCGTCGTTATAAATTGCCATGAACCGGGTCGCCGTACAAACAACAATCAGATAGCGCTACAATATCGAGAAAATCTATGAGCTGCTCCGGTTTTTAGTTGTGGGTGATGCATTAAAGTATAACGAAAGAAAGACTCCAGAACTAGATAGAACAATACTTTTGTGTGATAGGAATTAAGGGTTACGTCGTGTTTCACATTTTAATCCGGAAGGGATTGCGCTAACAGCTTTTGTAGTAGCATGCATCTTTGAAATAACGATTATGAGAGCAGCTTTCTCAAACGGCACTTTGTATGCACAATGCAACTGTAGATTCAGGAATCGAATAGAGAGAATATAAAAAGAATCCCTTGAATTTTCTAAATATTCTCCAAGGTCTACCGAACAAAAACGAAAAATAATCTCTCATCTAATGATTGCCAAGTGAATCGAACCTTCGCTTTAATTCATAGATTTGTTGACCATTCCGAGATGCTCAGATTGTAGAAAAATGATCGCTAACTTTATTGCACAACTTGTGATTCACGTTTAATTACCTAAGAACCTATGGGCACGCAATCACAATGATTTACCACATGAAAAAATGTAGCAATATGATAGGACTCTACATAAACATATCTTTCTTCAAGTATGTTTGACTTTATGTCAGGTTGATAGTGGCATTAATACACACATGTATGAAAATCAACATAGAACTGAAGGGATCATTTTTTGTGAGAATCACAAGAGAGAACAACAAAAAGGTTTCTCTCCAGAAAAAAGTCTTTAATTTGATCTATTTAGCTCTGAATTCTAGTTAGTCATGCTGCCAATTAAATGATCTTTGGGTAGCTTTTGAAACAAACGTCTGGTCCCTTTCAGATACGTGTTTCCAGAAGAAAAAAACAGTAAGATATTGAAATAATGCTGAATCGTAAAATGTTACTATAAAGTTGCAGGAAATTCTGCAACGAGGATTTCGTCGGACAATTTCATCTGGTATTATATAAAAGCTTATGCATTAATGTTTGACCAGACTTATTCCATGAACATCTCGACTCTTATAATTATATTTTAGAAAATTTCTGAACTACAATTATTAATAAGAATGGAATGCCATTTAGTGAGAATTGCTTGCTCATATTTATCAGCGCATTTTTCTTCTTACCGATAGGAATGTGTGTGAATTTGGCATTTGTTCTGACATCAATCTGCCCGTTTTGACCAAACCAGTGAATGATTTTTGAATCTGGCCGATTGAGATAAGATAAGTCAGTTGGCGACGATCTATCGTCTTCACCCGTAATCAAGACGAAATTATGAATCAAATAAGGATAAATTTGACTGAAGAATTCATTAATCACTGTAGTGCGTACATAAATAATACTACCTGGAGGTAAACAAGGAGCTATGCGTTTTCCATCGTTAGTTGTCGTTTCAATATTTTCAAAGAATTGATTTGGCCAACCGTAAATCCAATCGGCTAGATTACGGAAGTTTTGTGGGCAAATGAATTCGGGAAAATGACGAATGGAGTATGCTAAATTAAATATAAGCTTATCTCGTTCAAGCCTGGAAATGTAAGGACACAACTTGCGACAATCAGGTGAACTAGTTTGTAACAAATATGAAGTGTCCAGAGCCGGATGCCATTGTGTATATATCAACAGCAAACCCATTGCTAAAAGAATGCTACCAATGATTTGCTTGAAGCGACGCGGTACTCGGCAATATAACATAGGTGTCAAGTTGCTGATACTTTTTAAAATTTCATTCTTCTCTCTCTAATCATATTTAATAAGTTAACAATATTCTTGACAATGGAATACAACGAACTAATGCACGAAGAAAACGCTAGCCGACTTTTTTTTCAAAAGTTGATCATATTCTGACAATATTCGATTAGTTCTTGTTCAAATAAACCTTTGTGTGGTAGTTTATTAACAGATAATATAAGTGACTGTCGCTTTTCTGCATAGTTCACTTTTTCTAGAAGGATTATAAATAAAATAATACAATCATTAATAAATAAAGATTATTTGAACGCGGTGTTCTTTTTTCAGGAAAAGCAAAACTGAAAATTTAGAAAGAAGAGATCAATTTTTTATCTGATCATAACACAAAAACAATGATCAGTAAAATGTTTCGCAACTGATTTTACAAGACCTTGATCGTTTGTAAGAGGTCTATTTAAATGGTTTCATATAAACATAAATGAAACCATGTCCAAATAGGTTTGATCTTAGGTATGCGTGGATTCCGTTGTTTTCAAAGGTATCTTGAATAAAGCTAGCAGAACGGTATGAGCTGTTTCTCAACAAAAGCAGGACAAACTGTAGCCAAAATTCAAGAATATTTTATGATAGATAATTAATAATAGTCTTCGAAGTGGTGTTAGCACTTTACTCTACTGGTTCAACTTTTAAATAATTTCCGATCAAAATTACGGGGAATGCACAAAATACTAGATTGCTTTGCAAAAAGACTTCAGATATTAATTGCTGTTCAGATATGAAATGAAGAGTTGAATCGATTGTTGCTTGGCTTTTAGTACCACGGGATACCATATTAGTGAACTTTATGTCAGTTTCAATTCTTTTCCTAATGATAATATTTGTAGAAAAGTTGAATATGGTATTCTAGGCCATAAAAATCCTTGAATTTCCTACTCTCGATTTTTATTGTTGAAACATACTCACACATTACTAATATCAACCAGAAATGGGGCCAGTTTATCTTGTTTCATTTCCTTATTTTATTATATACCGAAGAAACCTAATTCACAGAAATCTGCGTTTGAACGCTTTATGCAAAGCGGGCCTTTCTTAAACCGAAATGCGACCTTTCTTTTAAATTGAGCTCATTTTAATCATCGAATCTTTTTTTCATTCCAGGGCTGTACAGATTCGAACTTGGGATTTTTGATTTCACTTAACTGATGTTATTGAGTGAAACTTAGAGTTATCAGTACAGACGTAAAACATTTATATATAGGCAAAATCATGCAGCACTCTAAATAAAAATGTGTCTGATGTGTCGTAAACTACGACACAAAGCACGACACGAGGTGCTCGTTGCGACACATTCTGTCCAGCAAGACGACGACGCATTTTTCACAACACATCCGACACATTTTCTATTGGCCGTTTTTGAAACGCATATTTCAATATGTTTTGAATTTAATTTAATATATTTCCTTATTTTGTGAAAATTTAATCTCATCAGATCCTCAGATCTGGCTGATTTGGCATTGATCCTATTCCCATCAGACCATCCAATGTAGTCCTTCCCAGATCATGGATCGGGATGGCATTTCCTTGATTGAAAAGCAATCAAGAATTAATTTAAAAGAAAATTTGATTTTGAAAACTTATCTTTCATGCGTTCAGCGATGCTGCTTATATGCCGCTGTATGTTCATAACAAAACGGTGAACGACTAGACGACAGACAGAACGCGAAAAATATGCGGTACATTTTTTTTAATTATAAGTGCGACACAAAAATTCGCGCCACATAAAGTAGACGCATTTTTATTTAGTGTGAGAATAGGACCACCCTTTCATGTGACTTTGATTTCTTCACAAGGGCGATTTTTATCGCCAAGTTCTTTTTGCATAAAAATTTGTAAAAATGTTGGCACTTTCAGCTGTTAACTAATTATGATTAATTCATTATTTAATCAAGAAGTACTTAATGAATACCTGTAGCCATAAGGGAAAAATTCCAAACAATTTCAGGGTAGACTACGCCACGAACAAAATCCACTATGAAATTGTCCGTAAGATCAAATTTCAAACGTTTGCTGTATTACCATGTGAAGATGCTGAACTAGAATTGATACCGCTTGAAAATGGCTTTGAACTATTTTTTCGGTTTTAGGAATACTTGTCGTCGATATATTCCCTGACTATTACGTAGTTAAAGAAAAATAAAATCGAATCGTTCCACAAACACTAGACATCTAGGAAAATTTTAAAAATGTGCGATAGATACGATGAGTGTTCAAGTGAAAGAAACATGAGAAAATGATATAGAGCGTTCTGTTTGAAAAATGGTTGGAAAAGTGCTAATTTCAAGTGGTAAAATTAATTTTCTTTTTGTGAAACTTATTCAAAAAGAGATGTATACATATTTTGTTTGTCATCTTATTAAGAATATTGATGTATGTTGGACACATACTTTTCTTATTTCCATAATTTTAAAAGAAGTGGTTAATACTAAGCAATCAAAAACTGTGCTCACCTAAAAGAAAATCAGAACAAAAAATAAGTTCAAAGTACTATGCTTATAATTATTGAAAATATAACTTTCGTCGACGGAAAATAGTTCATATTTAGTTCAGATGTTTAACGACTGTTAAACGAAAGTACCCATGTTCTAATCTTCTCCTGGACTTTGAATCGATTAGTTTCGATGACTAAAAGAATGAGATATGGAAGTATATGCGAAAATTCGATTTGATTTTCATACTATCGGGTACAGTTATTCGACTAGTCGAAAACACCATATTTTACTAACTTATCATCTGTCCCCCTCGACCTATCCAAAACTGGGAATCTGAGGTGTACGTTTAAAATTTCAAAGCCAATAGCAACACCCAACTCGAGTAATCGAACTACTTGTTGGATTGACTGGCTACTCCGGCATATTATGAAAAAACTGAAAATATGGATTTTGTAGCCTTAAGGAGGCCCCCCTCAGAATAGACTTGCCACTTTTGAGCATATGTTTAAGCTGAAACTTTCAGGGATACATGGTGGCAGTGAGAAACGCTTGTGGTAAAAATTTCAGCCATGTATACCTTACTAAACTGGACTTACGACTTATTTTATAGCTTTCNGAAATAACTTCATAACTATAAGAATTGTCGAGGTCGGATCGATTTTAAATCAAAGCTAGTCTCCATATGCAACTTTTCATCGAACAGAATTTTGAAATTCGCTTCTACTCATTTTTTATAAGTATTTCACTCAGTATGACTCTAAAACTAGGTACAAAAGACGCAGTAAATTGAACTTTTCTCAGTCCAGGAATCTAGTATGAAAAATCTGTTCGATGGAAAGTTAAGTCCCATTGAGACCTTTAAAATTAAAAAAATATCAGAGAAAGCTAAAGAGTGTGGGTGGGTGTGGGTGTGGGTGTGGGTGTGGGTGGGTGGGTATGGGTGTGAAGGAAAGATCCACACCCACATACGCTCACTTCTCCTTGCCTTGGTTTCATTATAACGATTCCTTCACAGGATACTCTAACCTATCAAAATTTAGACATAATTTAGATTTCATTTATAATCGATCTTCTGTTTTTCTATCAACTTTTCCCAGAAAAATCCTAAAGCGATTTATGCTCTAGAGCTTGTAAAACAATACCTTCTCCGTTTACAACAGATAGAATGCAGAAACTTTGCTGAAATTTGCATATTTGTGGTGCAGTGATCTATGCAATACATAGAGCCAATGATCATGCGATAATTCTACAGAATCAATTGTAGAGTAATAGTTGTTGGAGCTTTTATGTGGTATATAAAGACACCTAAATGCGCTTCAATAACTTTATAAATTCCTCTCGCCATCATGTTGTCGTAGTTCTACTTCCAATTATTTTTATAGTGTTCATATGGCTTATTCTCAAGCATCTTTTCCAGCCACCAATTACGTTTTGGTTGGTAAATTCCACGAGGCTAACGCCTACAGACCAGAAATTGAGCGTAGAAGCAAAGCGTGCATTTTTAAGGAGCTGTTCGCTGATTGTTACTGGTTGCGCTCGCAACATTGAACACCGACTTCCTGTATTTAGAACAAAAATTGAACGTATAACGTCATTATTTATGAAGTACTATCTTTACATTGGAGAATCAAGCTCTATTGACAATACTCTGTCAATCCTTTAAAAGTGGAGCCGAGAGAGTCCTCACGTGGTAGTATAGACGTTTGGTAACGTGTAACGTTATATAGCAGGCCGAACGGAGCGTATTGCATATTGCAGAAACAATGTACTAGATAACGCTCGGAACAGTGAGCTTTTCATATCACCTGGTCGAACATTTTACATGGCTATTGATCTTGATATTAACACACGACTGGATGAAGCTCAATTCTTAACAAACTTTGACTATAGTATTGATGAGTGGGATGCTATGACAGCTTCGCAGTTTGGCGGATATTATGATATATGGGCTCTTCGGGATAAAGTGGTTAACTATGACTGTTGGCATAGAGCAACAAACATTATTATTAGACTCATCACACTCAATCGAGGCGTAGAGGCATACATCAGTGTACATCAAAAGTCAATTCCTCCCGATCATCCACT